CCTCGTTGTGTATGTTATATTTTGAGACTGATCATAAAAACAAAATGGATTAAAAGAAGAACTAAACAGATCTTTCTCATATTGCAATGATCGATTCTATTTCTTTCACATTAAGTACTGTACTAGTAAATATGTGAAATGACAAACTCACTTTGAAGGTTGGCTTTCATACACATCAGTATTAAGTTTAGATCAAAAGTTACCTCAAGGTGCATTTACTGTTAACATGACTCGATCAAACAGATTAGAGGAAAGAAGAGAAAAGATCGAACTGACAAAGAACTAATGAAGATGGTACAAAGGTGGGCGCCAAGATCCCTCTGGGATCTCTTGTTGTAACTAATTGAGCTACCTTCTATAAATAACATTTCGTCGCTCACAGCTAGCATTCAACAATTCTAGCACTGCCCAACCATGTACTCATTTACATCTGTGTAGACTGGAACAAGCCGAGTAAAGTATCTTGTTCGAAGATACAACACAGTGCCGTGCCGTGCCTCGAACCTGCAATCCTTCGGTCACGAGCCCCGCATCCTACCACTAGACTGCTGTGCCTACTGCTTATGCAGTGTTCCCAGACACCAACAATTGAGGGTTTTTCAACATCAAAACAATTGGTTTTACCTCACAAATTATCTAAGAGTACAGAATCTTAAAAATGTATCAAATACACAATCTCAGATTCAGTGGGAACACTGTTAAAGGAGAGGAAAAATGCACAGTAAGACCGTGGTTCAAACTCGGGACCCTCCGAACTCGAAACATATGCTCTACCAATTGAGCTACCTGCAGGTCGCCAGCGATCGACCCAGTGTAGTTCTGCTACAATCCTTCCTCCTTTTACTAAGTCTTCGCCCCCAAAGACACACAACTATTTACAACCCAGGTTCAGGTATCCCCTTGCAAAGCATGCACCAAATGCTTGAAACAAGGGTTGGTCACAGGCACGACTGTAACAAGAGAGTTGTGAGTTGATTAACAGTGCTTTTTTTGTTTTAATTAATTAAATATTTGCTACCTATTGTGTTTTTTTTTGTGTGTTTTGGCCATAAATTATCATTTAATTGTGGTACAAATTTGTCCTTTTTGTAGGATGAGCTTACCAAGGTCCAGACGGGTTCAGGATCGGGACAATCGTCCCGGAGTCAGTCAGGCGGAAAGGAGAGTAGAGTCTGCACAGTTCAGTGATCTAGGGTCAAGGTCATGTACGGGAAAGTTGCAACCTTAATAAATTGCAAAGAATTTAAATTGCATTGGCGAAAGGTCAAAGTTCATCTTCAGATATTTGACCTCCAAATGATCAAAATTATCTGCAGAAATAAGGATAATATAGGATTAACACTGTTTTCTCAGTCAAAGTTTTTGACAGAATAAAAGTTAGTTATTATCTAAAACGGATAATATGTGAACCTCTGATTGTCCCAGGGTCAAAGTTCATTTTTGAAAAATTTGACTTCAAACGAGAATTTTTTTTTTAAAATTCAAATAACCAAAATTAAATATAATGACGTAAAGGTGAAAGGTCACTGCCTACCTTTGCATACCAATGTTGAGATTAGTGATATATTAGTGGTAAAAATTGCGTACTGTACATCAGTACTAAGTGCATAATAACTTGTTGTTTTTATTTTGAATATGGTGACCCTTATTCATGAAGTTCTTATGCTCAGATTCATGCAACTTGCTCAAATCAGTTTTCTTGTAGCTCGCCGAGACCTTATAACTCAAACACACTTACCGATAGATATGGGCCTTTTAAAAGCTCAGTTTCCCATCATTTTTGATTAAAAATTAGGCTGGAGGACAGAATCTGGAATTCAGAAATGTTTTACCTCATATCATGAACTTATTACACGGGCTTAATTTTTTTTCGTGATTTTGACCCAAAATTTGAAATTTAAATTTACACAGATAATTTATTTCTTGATCTAAACATGTGAAAGAACTAAATGTTTTAGCACAAAGAAAGTACATTCACCGCGAAAAATATCCTGTTATACGGTACCAGAACTTTTAGTTATATGAGGATTGAAGAGTATGTTTAACGTTTTATTCTTGTATTGTAACCATCATCTTTGTCATGTAAATACGTACAGTCAAACCTGTATTTAGAGACCATCCATGGGAATACCTGTAAGTGGTCTCTTAACATGGGTGGTCTCTTAACAAGGCTGGTCTCTTAACATGGGTGGTCTCTTAACATGGCTGGGCCCTGAGTATGGCTGGTCTCTTAACATGGGTGGTCTCTTAACATGGGTGGTCTCTTAACATGGGTGGTCTCTTAACATGGGTGGTCTCTTAACATGGCTGGTCTCTTAACATGGGTGGGCTCTTAACATGGCTGGGCCCTGAACATGGCTGGTATCTTGACATGTGTGGTCTACCAGGAAAAGTTCGCCCAATCAAACTTTCGCCCTAAGCTGGTAAAATCTGTTTTCGCCCAGTGTTCATTCCGCCGCTTCACTTTATATTACAGTGTTTATATTATGTTGGTTACTTATGTTGGCCCTCATGATAAAAAGGCGAAAGTTAAACTGCGGCAAACAGTTTACAGTAGTTCATGATAATCATGGGGAAGCAGATCATATGGCATTCATGGTGCTTGTAAATACAAACAGATTTATAAAATTAAGATAAATTGAAATGATGAATACAATATTATTGATATTTTTTGTTTCTCCTATCAAGTGTTGACTATCAAAATTGATATAAACATTTAATTAACTTTTCCAAAATGGGCAAAAATACCCATTGTACATTGGTGTTCATTTCCTCACTTATTCTATACATACTTCAATGTGTATGGTATTGTGTGTGTGTGATTTGATAGAGTGTTAAGGATTGATGCTATAAAGTCAATAGTCTTCGAAATCCTTGAGTTCCGCTACTTTTCGTATACATGTCTTCTCTGAACCCATTTATTGAGTCATGACAAAATCAAAGGCTTTGTACACACCACCTTGTCACTGAAAAGTCAAGAACTTACAGAATGCTGCCGACCTTTGAACTCTTTAAATCAATATAAGAGGAATCGCACGGCAGCATTACAGTGAAAATTGACAGGCAACGAGTTTGGTAAAGCTCCTCTATAATTTTCAAAAGGTCAGGTATTGGGCTAGTGATTGGTCATTATTATATGTCAGAACCAATCAAATGGGTAGCCTAACAGCCTAGCAATTGGTCAGTTGTTTAATATGTCTGGAAACAATCAAATGGCTACCTTATCATCCTAGTGATTGGTCAATTTAATATGTCTGAAACCAATAATATGGCGAGCCTACTAGCCTAGTGATTGGCCAGTTTGATATGTCTGGAACCAATAAAATGGCTACCCAATCAGGCTAGTGATTGGTCATCCCATTATGTCTGGAACCAATAAAATGGCCAGCCTACTAGCCTAGTGATTGGTCAGTTTGAGATGTCTGGGACCAATCAAATGGCTACCTTATCAGCCTAGTGATCTGTCAGTTTAATATGTCTGGAACCAATCAAATAGCTAATTATGAGCTTTATATTTTATCAACAAACTGTAACATTACTTATTTTAGTAGACACAAATTTCAGTGTACTATCAAATTTTATTAGTGTATTGGTTCTCTCTCAATATATTGTTTATAAAACCATATACAGAGCTTTCAATTAGCGCTATAAAGATTAGCACAATGTTTGAAGTGCAAAAAGTGCTAAAATTTCAATACCGCTGAAATATGTATTTAACAGTACTTTAGACCATGGCATATAATTATGTTTATTCAGAGCAGAACCCTTGGATTTCAAAGATGATTGGCCATCTTTTGTGAAAATGTCTGCAATACAGAGTTGTATGATTAGCGAGTCTTGTTAACGGTTTTAAAAATCTAAAACCGTCAACAACACTCGCTAATCATACAACTCTGTATTGCAGACATTTTCACAAAAGGGTTCTGCTCTGAATAAACATAGTTATACAGTAACGTTTTATTGTAAAATATATTTTGATCGTGTGTGCTGAACAAGGTTGTACATGGTATGATCAGTGAATGTTCATGACAAATGATATATGAAGTCAATCCTGGATAATTTTCGTTACTGTATGGAGTAATAGAATCCATCTTCTGTGATGATGTGTTTTACTGTTATTGAATCCTGAAAAGTTGTAACAGATATCGGTTATACTGGCATGCAATCGTTATAAGATAATTATTTGTGATATATTGATATTTTTAAATCCCCTGATATATATGTGTATCATAGAATAAAATAATAAATATGCAAGATCTACCCTAGGCCTCTCTGCCTTCTAGGTCGTCTTCATGTGGACTATTTAGGCCTAGCAGGCAGAAAAGCCTAGCAAACGGTAGGTCTTACATATTTATTATTTCATTCTATATTTCCCCCACAAGGACTTGTTTATGGATATTATATATAGTTATGTTTTATTTACAATTTTAATGAAATCCAGAACATATCAAGAATCTTAACTTTCTGCTTTCATTGTCGTGACTGTTATATTGATATTCTGCCTCTCTATGATGTATTTATTTGAATGGGGTTTTGTGGTTTATGTACTGTTTATGTGTAAAAGAAATTTCCAGACCAAAAATAAACCAGTAGCAAATACTTTTTTTATGAAACAATAATTAGTATATACCCATTGTAGATAAAAAGTAGAAATCTATAATTAATAGACGAAATTAAAGTATTATTACTTTTTTCATAGTAGAAAAAGTATTGTCAGTTTAAGCCAAACAATAGTTGTGTTTCATGTGTTCCTCAGACTTTCAAATTTGTTTGCACTTAAAATGAAATTGACAATCCCCATACCCTTAACCCTTTCACCCATAGGTAACTTTAGTAGACTCTACCATACATTTATCTGGTGTCTATTATGGTCTACAGTGGTGAAAGGGTTAATAATCAACAAATGAGAAACACAGATAACAAAATTTTCTATATTTTTCAAGGGTAGTGCTGGTATCTTATTTTTGATTGCGGGTTTGTTTTCACTACAAACATGGTATTTGTTCTGACCACGTGGATCCACATGTTCTGCAATGGGTTAAATGTTCATATCGAATAGATTTGAATTAACCATGCCATAGTAAACTGTTTTTAATTGTAATAAAAGGAAATTTCCATTTTTGGGTTGGTCCTAAATAGCTCACACTGTCGATGGGCCTAAAACAAGACAAAAACAAAAACGAAAAACACAAAACAGAAAAGACATCTTTACGTTGATTTGGCCATATCTATAGTCAATAACTCTATATATTTTAAATACGCTAACAAACACATTCCGTCCCTTTTATTCCCTTCCGATACAGGTCTTTTTGGCCTATTGCTAGCTGAAAAGTTTTTGATGACATTTAGCTGTATCCGTCCAGTTTATTTGCGAGCCACAAGAATGACCAAGCCACAATGTATAGGCTGACTATATTTAACTTATTCACCCCTGAATTTCATAATGAACTATTCCAACCTTTTAATAGGAAGAGTTCAAACGTGTCCTCAGTGGATAATGTGTTGATTAATATATCTCTATCCGTCCAATAAGTGTCTTGGTTGCAATAAGTTGGCCTGTTGCCTGCAATTATTGATGTATTTTCCGTTGGAATGTTAATTGTGAAAAGATGTGTCTTGAGTAATCTTCGGGACATTTATGTTTGGGAAAATATTTTTCCGTGCGATTAACCGAGTCAAGTATTGATATCTATCCATCTTAAATATTCCAGGGGTTCCGCTCCCTTACGTTCTCTGCACACTTGGAATATGGCATAACAAAACTGAAGGCTCTGTACGTACTTGTGGATGAATCAAGTAGACTTGTTTGATCCTTTGATGCACATCAACAGAATCGTGCATATTGGCAAAATTGACTGTCTTTGAAGACTGATGTCGCTCCTCTGTAATCTTCTAAAATGTCAGTCTAGCCATTGACAGTGTTTTTTTAACCTGAAACTAATCCAGTAGCTATAGCCACTTGCCTTCGTTTTGTCGTGGCATTTCCCACAGGTGCGGAGAGCGTACATGGGATTTCTAGGATGATATACATCTGTCTAAACAATTACTTTATTTATATAAATTGTAGACTTCTGTCTATTTGGGGGTAATGCTTGTTTTGTATGTCCTTATACTTCAAATTAATCAATGTTATACATCAAGAAAAAAAAAACCACCCAAACATTAATGGTTTTTAGTGACATAACTAGCAAAAGCTTATTAAGGTAATGTCAAAACGTTTGGCTAGGAAGAAATCGCCGGAAATAACGAGGAAGGAGAGAATATGCAGAGGTCCCTAGTGTTGCATTTGGGGGCAGCTCATAAATGTTGGTTTCCTCAATGTCACCTGCTATACATCCTTGATAGTCGTGGTGTATCGCTCATGTCGCTCTCCGCATCCCTGGAATATGTCATACGAAAATTCGAAGCTCAGTTTGCACCACTTGTTTGAAAAGACGAGAAGGCAAGTTTGATCCTTTGACGTAAATCGAAAGAACCTC